TCAAGACTTAAATACTAACAAATTAATAGACTTTCATAAGAATTAGTCACTGTAATTATAATACTGAGTAGTACTTTTAGTGTTGAGATATTTAATACGTAAATTATATTTATTTATTTTCAATAAAACTGTTTTTAATCCGATAAATAATTGATAACGCCTTTGAAAAACTGATACAAAGTGTTACTCGTACCACGCTTTTAATTAGTACAGTATATTTGAAATACTTGAAGACCATTTTAAAGTAATTCGATATATCATATTAGTTGGAACAAAAAAAAAATAGAATAACAAAAACGGTAAAACTTTATTATTATTCATACATTTTCTATTACAGATACTCTCTATGACTATAAAATAGACTTAAGAAAAATAGACTTAATAAGCTGTGTGAAATATAAATTCAATTTACAAATACTCTTGGGAATACTATAGTAACTATATTCAAATAAAGACTAACTGGCCACATTAATCAAGAAGGAAGTTACTTTAATAAGAGCCTTTAGCTTTAGCTTTAACTATAATGACCTATTTAAGATCACAACTTGTATGGATGTGTGATCCCTTAATCCTACAGTATCAAGTTTATATTTTAGTATAAAGTCTTATTTAGTTTCAGTTTTAGTTTTATGTTAGTCTCAATTCTTTCTAGACAGTGACAGATATGCGGATAATATGTCACATCATACAATCTTGATGTTAAGTAAAAACTTCATTTTGTTAAGTAAAAATATTTTTTTATAGACAAAAAGATATATTCATTTATTGATTTGATGGTTGCTCGAAATATCGTACTAGTGGCAACCTTTTTTAAGCTGTTATCTATTCGTTTATTAAATTCTTGATTATACACTAACTAATCATACAATCTGCTGCATTTCTCTATGGAAGTTATTATAAATTAATATAAAAATGAAATTTTAAACATTTTTTTACAATAAAAGACAATAAGGCAAAAAAAATATATATAAAATACCTTGACATTGCATTTTAACATTTTTTGCTACATTTAGATATATAATAAGATTCTCAAAATAGTACTAAGTATCTCATTATCAGTTAATCTCACTATACTACTGTAATATCTTAATAAACATGTATACAATTTTATTAATCGTTTATAAAATTTTTATGCAATTTTTTTTTGCCCACACACGTTAAAAGCACGCATGACAATAACTTGTATCTACAAGATAACATTAATTAATCTCATACTTCTTTGCAAAAATAAGATATCAAGGCAAAAATATGTGCTTATCATTGAAGTGAGCAAACAGTAAGTAATGCGGTAATAAAATATAAGATTTTGTTCTGATGTAAATACATATATCTGATGATGTATAAAAGATAAAAGTTGTTGGATGGGAGAAAATTAAAGTTAATCACGTACCTCGAATTAAACCATTGAACAAATTTTTCAGTTTTTTTGTCCAATAAAAAGTTAAGCGGAAAAACTTAAATACAAAATTATTGAGATAAATTAATGAGATTTTTAACACAAATAAAATTGTTTACCCAAAAATTTCATAGATAAAAATATACTTTTTTACGCGGCGGCAATTTACTTTTTGGAAGTATTTGCAAAGCTTTTACTTGTTTAAAGTAATAACTTTTTATATGAGAGCAAATATACTATGGTATTTGCAGAGTAACTATGAGATATAGCACAGCAGATCTGATTAGTGACGTTGATATGTTCCTAATTGCAGAATAACTATGAGATAAAACACAGTAGATCTGTTAGATTGCATTTAATCTATTAACGAGCAGAGATACGAACTTTATTCAATAAAGTTTTCAATATTGAAATACTATCTCGCTGAATGCTATCTGTAAAATTTTGAGAGAAATTGCTTTCTGTAGACAACCGAGAAATGAACTTGGTAAGTATAATGACAACAAAAGGTCATATTAGACAATAAATGATATATAAATTGAATGTAAATAAATTTAATTTAAATAAAATTAATTAATACCCTATATCTTCATATATATACGCAATGGGTTTTTTTAATTTATAATATAAATTTCACTAATTTAATATATATAAAAATAAATATATATATATATATAAGAAATAAGAATCCTATATTAAGTCAATGAAACATTTGTTAACACAAGTAAAAATATTGAGTAAACTTAAATTGATTTTGATCTTATTAGTCGGTGTACAGAAAATATTTTAAAATAGATTAATATGTTATTTCAGTTACTTAAGCTGCATCCAGTTTAGTTTCTATTGAATTCAAGACAAGAGTTGTGCTATTTAATTGCCTTACTAACTTTAATCGAATCAAATCGGAGGACTTTAACTAGAAGATATTATTCGTTTTATAAGCAGACTTAATTTATACAAGTTTACTTAAAAAACCTTATCCAGCTGTAGCACAAGGGATCTCAAAAGATGTGCTATACCAGGGCTGACCCTTATCTCAACGGTTAATCAACATTAGATTAACTTAAAAATGAGACTAGAGAAAAGAGAAGCAGTTAGAAGAGGATATTTGTGAATGGTTGAAGTGTTTATTATTGAAAACTTTACTATAAGCAATTAACTTCTCGCAAGAATATAGACTTGTATAATTAATATAACACTGTGTTTAAAAATAAGAAAACTATTTATAACTTTAAAAATCTTTATTTATTCTTGTAAATCTTTTTGAACGCTTTTAAAGTACTCCTAATCGATAGGATATACTTATGCCGATATTTTTCTAAATCCTGGAAACAAAAATGTTCATTTTACGCAATGTATATCATAATTAAGAGTCTACAAATATAATTTTATTTCAAATAAAATCAATATAACGTTGAGATATCTTATAATTGTGCAATGCTATAGTAGTGATATATCTTTTTGGTCATACTGTACGAGTAGTTGAAGGTTCTATACACTGTCCTAATTTTTAGTCAACTTTAAGCTTGTTGTTAATCATTTTTTTTTAAAGTAATTAATTTTTTTTATCAATATTTTGATAAAATATTATTTTTTGGTAAACAAAAATTCATTAATCTTTGAAAATCAAAATTTTTGTTTAAACATAAAATTAGATATTATAGGCTATAATGAAAATGTTTATAAAATTTGTGTTGGCCTTAATTAAATTTGCTTGGCTTTTTTTTTTTAAATTAAAAAAATTTCGAAAATTTCTTTTCTTTTATTTATAAAATAATTTTTAAAATTTTTGGCAAAATATCAAAAGCGAAACATGCGTGTTTTCTCCTCTAATTTTTGTTTCAAAAAATTACAATACAATAGAACAATGAAACTGAATTTACCGAAGACACCATAAGAACTGTTATTGAAAACTAAATGCCGAAATTCAGAGAGAATATTGAACTGTGATTTAATTCTTAAATATAAATTTAGACAAAAACATTCTTAAAATACTATTTTTTAAATATAAATGATCGATGCGATAGACAATAGACTAAACCGGCGGAAAAGAATACCTGTAGATAAAGGCGCTTTTAATGAACTTCACACGACCTAACGATAAAAATGTAACTGAAACAAAAGTAAACAATACACCGAAGTTTCCAAATATTAAACAAACAAAAGCATAATTTATTAATAAAAATAGTTCAACTAATTTTGTGTTTTTTTTTTATTATTGTGTGTATTTTTAATCTAATCACTGCGACACTTCGAAAAGGCGCAGAACCTGTGGAGTCTTAAGGGCTTTGTCTCGGTATCATAAATAAGAACCGCACAAAAGAGGCACGGAGTGTCTCATATTTTTCTATTTAAAGGCCAAAGAAATTAATGAGCCAAGTTAAGAGTCTAAAATGACCGATAAATAAAAATTAAACAAAAAGATCAGCAGTTGCAGGTTGTTGAATAATCTTAGATCTCAGAGTTTGAAGAACAGCCGTTTGACCTCTTTCTGGAACCACAAATTAAAATGCAAGCCATAAAAAAAGTAACTGCAAATTGCATCAGTGTATTTGCTCTGATTATAGTAGAAAAATAATCAACTTTAGATACTTTAATAGAAAAATTATAACAAATGACAGTGAATTGAGATTCAATTAAAACTTTTGGAAAAATCTCTTAATGATGACGATAAGACAGGAAATACATGTTTATCCACAAGAACAAAATTTTCTTACGAATTTCCTGGAAGCTTTAAAAGTTGTTAACTCATTGTGTTAACAATGAATGAATGAATGACTTGTTTTATAGCTCAAGCGTATTTGTGTATCTTACAGATGCAGATACATGGGTATCTCTTTGAAATGGTGTAAATGCAATTGTAAGGCAAACACAAAAGAACCAAAAACTCCATAGAA